GACAAATTTTTTCTAAGTAAAAGTTTTCTTGACTTTAGGCTTAAATATCTTGGCAATTATTTTATCAAATTTAATAATTTTTTTTATTTTAATTCTATATAATTTCAAAATTAAAATAAAAAATTTTTAGCAAATTTGATTAATTAGTTGTTGAGATATTTTAATTTAAAAATTAAAAAAAATTCACTAAAAATGATTTGTTCCTTTTCTATTAACTCCCTCCATATATTTAAAGAAATTCTAACTAAAGTAATTTATTCCGAAGAAGAGCTAATCAGGTCAGAATTGGATAAATAAATTAGGAATAATTATAAAGAAAATTACAAAAAAAATATGCTGAACCAGTGAAATGCCTATTATACAAGAAACATCAATGGACCAGTAAAACCTTTTTATTTAATTTATATATTTTATATATTTCAAATTGTTTCAAAATATTTAAAATTATTTCAAAATATTTCGAATTATTTTAAAAATTTTAATTTACTAATTACAATACTTTTAGCTTTTGAAGTAAATTAGATTTTTGCAAGATACACTAACAAGCAATATAAAAAAATATACATTTTTTGTTTTTGGGAGTCTTTTAGATTCTATAAATAATTTGGCTTTATCAGATAAAATTCGAGTTTAAAAAGGCTCAAAAAAGACTAAAGATTGTTATAAAATACTATTTAAAGAGATAGAAGAACTAGAATATTAAAGAAAATTTGGCCTGAAGAAGATACTTTTAAAGAAAATATAACTTATACAATAACAGTAGCTCAAACTATACTCAACCCAGATTATGGTAAATTAGCAATAGAAGAAAATGCTATAAAGAAATTAGCTGCAAGATATTTAGTAAGTATTTAAATTTATTTTTGTTATCAGATAAATTAATTAACTAAATTTGAACTATTTCGAATTAAATAGGTGAGATTAAAAAATAGCAATCCATTATCAAATCCATATTCAGAAGTCGAATCTAGTAATAAAGAAAGTGATAAATTTAAAGAAAAAATTTTGAATAAAGTCAAAATAGTAAAAATAATTTTAAATTATTTAAATTTAGGGCATTATTTTTTAGTGACCCGTTGCCATGGTGACCCCATGATTGACCAATCAAATTTGTTCACGTGACTATGTTTCAATTATTAAAAAAATTATTTTTTGTAATAAAAAAAAATCCTCAAAATTATATATTTATTACATATTTATTACATAATAATTTCGTTTATTTAATAAGAAAAAAAAATTAAAAAAAAAGTCTTTATTTGCATAACAATCTGCACAGCCCCAAACACACACCCAACTTACAATGACATCAATAGAACCAAAGAAAATTGCACCACCCATGACAGCATATTCAAGTCAGCATCAACGAAATCATACCGAAACTATAGAACAACAACTTCAACAACTGATAAAAAAAAAAGTATTAAATATAAAAAACTATATAAAAAAAAAAAATCAAAACCCGGCAACAGCATAATGACAACATAAAGAACACTACTTCAGAATCCAATGAAATAATTCAAAGACCCACAAAAAAAGAAAAGTATAGTAATAAAAACCTTATTGGGGTCACTTTTTGGCGATTTATTTGGTTGAAATTTCAGTTATGATAACTCCATAAATGCATGGTTGAGACTCTAAGCAAATCAATACAGAAAAAAAAAAAATCCTGAACTTATCGATGGAATGATATAAAAAACACCTTACTTGTAAATTTGACGAAAAAATTCAAGACATGCAAAAAAAAAAATGAGTATATTAATAGAGTTAATAACTATGTAAGTTATTTATATAAAAAAAAAAAAATACCTTGGTTGTATATCAGAATCCCGATATACAAAATCTCAATACACAAAATCCTGGCAATAAAATCTTGATAAACAAATTAAAATTCTAAAGATATATAAATTAGAATTTTAATTTGTTGGGATTTTGTGTATTGGAATTTTGTTGTCGGGATTTTGTGTGTTGGGATTCTGATATACAACTAAATACCTTACCAAAGTCACTTTGTTTGTGATTTGTTTAGCTGAAATTTCAGTTATAATAACTCCAAGCCATGGTTGAGACTCTAAGCAAGCCAAGTAAAAAAAAAAAAAAAACATGATTAAAAAAAAAGAAAAAAAATCCTAAACTTGCAACAGAATGATATAAAAAACACTTTACTTATTAACTTGACAAAAAAACCAAGACATGCAATCTTACCGGAGTCACTTTGTTGGCAATTTGTTCGGTTGAAATTTTTATCATGATAACTCCAAGACTGTCTTGAATGCATGGTTAAAACCCTAAACAAGCTAAGCAAATACAAAAAAAAAAACAAATACAATTAAAAAAACTCAAACCTAGTAACAAAATGACATAAAAAACACCTCACTTTTAAGCTCAACAAAAGAATCTAAGATATATTTAAAAAAAAAGAGCATGTTAAAAAAGTTAATATAAAAAAAAAGAAACACTTTGTTGGGTTGAAATTTTTGTTATGCTAACTTCAAGACTATCTTGAATACACGGTTGAGATTCTAAGTAAGCCAAGCAAATACTGGAAAAAAACAAATATGATTAAAAAATTCCGAACCTGGTAACAAACGATGTAAAAAACACTTTGACAAAAGAATTCAAAACCAAAAAAAAAAAAAAAAAAGAGCATGTTAAAAAAAAAAAAAAAAAAAAAAAGAAAAACCTTATTGGAGACTCTTTGTTTGGTTACAGAATTCCAAGAAACTATGTTACCAATGACAGTACCAATAGCAACACAATGACAACACTAGCAGCAAAACCAAATCCAAAATGCGACAAGCTAAAAAAAAAATTGTTAAGCAGGAAAACAAAGCAAAACAACAAAACAAAAAATTGATTATCATGTTGCACAAAAAAAAATTTATATATGATCGCCAATCACGAATATGATTGGCTGATCATATGAGGGTCGCTGTGCGATGGGTCGCTATTTTATTTTTGCCTTAAATTTATATCAAATTTTTAAAACTAATACAATTATTTAAATTAATTAAGAAAAAGTTTCTAAACATAAAAACACTTCAAATCATTCCGAAAAGGTATAATTTTTTAACTTTATTTAATTTAATTGAATTTATTTTAATTTTTATGAATTATTTAGACTCATAAAAGGCCAAAGTATAGTAAGAAT